CAGTAAGCAAATAAAAAAATGAAAGGGTTATATTCTGCCTAATTGAATATGAGATTATGATGTTGTTTGTGTTATTACTTCTATAGGTCGGTTTTATAAATTTTACTACGGTAAGTATGCAATAAATGATTTTATTTATGATAAATAAATTTACTTAATTTAAGAGCTTCATTAGTTGTTTTTATGATTTTTACCAACTTTTATTTCTGTATCGGTGAATAATGTGATATTCTTACTAGACTAGTGTAGTTCACCCTTTCATTAACTATTTCAGATCAAGAGCCTCAAGATCCAAATCCCGATCAATAAGGGGGTTGTGAATAACTCACCACCCGGACTCTCTTCAAAGGCTAGTGAAGGTCGTCTTAGGATACCTAATTGTTTACTTTTCATTTATTTCTTGATTTTTTGCTTGTTCTTTTAAAAGGGTCATTCTCGTAACCCTATTAGGTATTCTAAATTATTGTGTAAGGAATATAAAACCTAACTCTATTATCTCGCTTCCGTATTCAATTTATGATTTTATTTCCGTTCAAGTTCCTGGTCATTACAATTGAGATATTCAAAATTGTTAATATATACATACACATATATGTAATATATATTTGGATTTTACTCAGAAAATAGTAAACAAAATAAGCAAAAAAAATTCATGCAAGAATGGATTTGAATAAATTGGAAAGAAGACTAGTTTGGAAATGAAAATTCATGGTTTTGCTGCTATCGTCACAGATAATACAAATTTAATTTAATTTAAATTAATTTTAGATTAAGACTGAGAAAAAAAAAAATGTTGTGATTGAAATTTGAAATAAATAATAGATAAAGGTGAATAGAATTGATAATATATGAAATAATATGAAGAAGAGAGAATTAAGATGTCCCTATATGACTTGCATAGTCAATGCAATAATTGTAGATTGTGTGAACCCATCCGAGGCTCCTAAACTACAGGCTTGGATACTCCTTCTGATCCCCCCTGTGTATGGTAGAAGATAGAGAGAAGATAGAGATGAGGAAGAAGAGACGAAGGGTGGGGAAACATGAGGTATTTAATGTCAATTTTTTCAATAAATTTAGATCGATGCAGACTGATTTAAAATTTAGTATATTCTTTTATATTTTTAAACATCACATTTTATCCAATATGAAAAAATATCTAATTAAATTATATCACATTTTAAGTTTAGTAATATGTGATACATGTAGTAACGAAGTTAATAAGTACTTATGAGAGAAATTAATTTAAATATATTTTAAAGATATAATGATTAATTTGACATAAAATCAAATAAATACATGATATATAGATAAAAGAAAATGCTTTATAAAAACTGATGAGAGGTAGTGTATGGATAAAGATAAGCAAGAAGCAAGTGAATGATAAGTTTTCAATAAGGGGTCAACTACATGACACTTAAAACTTGATCTAAAAAGGTGTATAAATGTAAAGTTAGATATTTCTAGATATACCATTATTCAATTGGTTGTATTATGTGTTACTTCTTTTATCTCATCTCATTTAACACAAATATAAATTTTAATTCATCAGCAATTAAAATTTTTAAATAAAAATAACTTAATATATTAATAAAATATTATGAATGATCGTTGATCCTCTATAAATAAGAAGGGTTTTTTTACGCTTAATTCCGATACATAACACTACTTAAATACTTGTAGTTCATAGCAAAACTATCGACTTAAAAGATGAGAGTGCAGTGGCCTTTTTTCAATTTATTTTCTTCCACTACATTGAATTAAGCATGAATATGTATATAAATAGAAGATGACTTCAAATAAAACAAACAGTCATTTTTAGAAATGGTATATGGTTAAAAATGGAATTATTAGAATCAAGTCTGAAATTTGGAATTAATATATACCAAAGAATTGACTAAATATTATAAATTCAAAACAATACTATAAAAATGGAAATCCACGTTCATGATATTTATCTGATGCTGATGCTGATCAATATTCCATAAATAATTATTATTGCTGTTGAATGTTACTTATGAGTTGGTAGAAGATTTTTCAAATAATGAAAAAAATAAGTGATTAGTATTTAAGGTATATTACTCCGAAATTTAAAATCATGTATACATATATATATATATATATATGTATACATGATATATATATATCTAACTTAAGTTGTAATTTTTTCTTTTTTGGCTCTATAATTTATTTTTTGTCACTATTCTTGTTGAACCAAATTTTTGTTATATTGTTTAAAATCTTAGATGAATATGAAGTAAAAAATTAATGATAAAAAAAAAAAAAAAAAGAGAATTGAGGAAGGAAGGAAACCAAAGTGAGAAAGCTGGGTGAACGGAGTATTAAACGCGTGGAGCTTTGAATTTGAAACTGTAACCAGCACATACTCATCTTACCATTCCATTTCTATCCCATTCAACCAACCAACAAATTTGGTAATTTCCCAACGTAACAAATTAAATCTCTTCTCACATTAATTAATTTCCATTTTCTTATTTTTATTATTTTTTTTTTTAAAAAAAAATAAGACTAGCAATGTAACAGTAATAATTCACATTCTGATTCTCTCTCTTTCTCTCTGTCTCTTTTGTGCTATTCGTGTTCTTATGTAAGTGGGGGTTTAGGTTTTAGTATTTTCTTGTTGACCAAACAAGATGGGTGTAGTTTTCAATTTGATTTTCTTATATGTTATGGGTTCAGTTTCACCTTCCTGTAAGCATCTCTTTCTTTTACCCTAATTTTTAATTATTTCTTGCATCAATTTTTTTTTTTATAAAAAAATTAATGAAATGAAATGCAGATGGGTATGATCCATTGGATCCCAAGGGCAGCATAACAGTGAAGTGGGATCTGTTGCAGTCTACTGTTGGTACAGATGATGTGAGTACTCAATTCCCTCCTTTTTTCTTTTAATTATTATGTTATGAACCCCCTTTTTTTTCCTATAAAATTAACACCCAACTGATTCTTTAACCCTCTTTTCCAAAAATTATTGGGATTCTGGTCGAGTGAGAAAGAAAGAGCCACCTTTGCTTTGTCTTTGTCTCTTTCTCTCTCTCTCTCTCTCTTTTTTTTTTTTGGTACATGCTTCACGCCTATTACACTGCACCATGTCATCAATTAGACTGAGGTTTTTCAAATGCCATATGTAACCCAATAAAGATTTGAGAATGAAGAATTACAAAGCTGTTGTTATTGTTAAAGTTTTAATATACAAATTATAATTTATTTTAAATTCAAATAAAATTTACTTTTTAACTAGATTTAACCTATATTTATCATCTAGTTAGTGAAAGTTTTATTTTTTTAGAAAATTTGTTTTATCTTAATGGTATCATAAGAGTTTTTGGTTATGAGTCTATACCAAAAAAAAATATAGAGAGAAAAATATAAAATCAATGCAAACTTAAGTTTTTACATAAAAAATTTCAACAGTTATATGTGTATTTGTGTATATATTATAGGTAAGGGTGTCAATAGTGAACAATCAGCTATACCGACACATAGAAAAGCCAGGATGGAGACTGAATTGGGCATGGAAAGGTAAAGAAGTGATATGGGGAATGTGGGGAGCAGAGGCAACTGAACAAGGAGATTGCTCAGCATTCAAAGGAGGACAAGTCCCTCATTGCTGCGAGAGAAAACCAGTCATTGTTGATCTTCTTCCTGGAGCTCCTTACAACATTCAGACTTCTAATTGCTGCAAGGCAGGTGTCTTGTCTTCAATTACACAAGATTCTTCCAATTATTTAGCCACTTTCAGTATGAACATTGGTGGAGCTGCTGTTAACTATTCTGATCTTCAAATGCCTGAAAATTTCACTCTTGGCCTACCCGGTTATTCCTGTGCCCCAGCAGTTGAAGTTCAACCTACTCGATTCACCACAGATGGAGGCCGTAGATGGACACAAGCTCTCAGTAAGTAGCTACAACTCTTGTCATAGTTATAAAAGGTTCTTCATTATATTATATCCGTTAGAATTGAGAAAATCTTTTTATTAATTTTTTTTTTGTTAGTTGTTCTATGACATTTAAAATCTAAATGCTCATAGAAAATTGTAGAAATATTAACCATTTAACCAAAGGATGATTCTTACAGAATCGTTTTACTTATAATAAGCAACTATTATCTTCTTAAGAAATAGTTATATCATCTTTCTTTGACTCAAAAATAAAATTAATATGTTTTTAAATTATGGTTATGTATTTTTTTTTTTTGACAAAATAAAATATAATTGTACTATTTTTTAATAAAACGTAAAATAAATTAATGGATTTTACGAAGTTTGTTAACTTATTTATACTCCTAGAACACCTAATAATTCTTTATTCTTGATCATTGATGATAATATAATTTCACGTGTTGTATTACAGGGACATGGAATGTGACTTGTATGTACTCTCAGTTTCTATCTTCGCCGGCCCCAACATGCTGCGTTTCACTATCAACATTTTATAACAGCACAGTTGTTCCATGCACCAAGTGCAGCTGCAATTGCCAAGGACTACCTGGGTCCAAATGCCTCGAGTAATTAATTACTAGCACATAAACACTGGTAGTTATATATGTCGATCTAATTTGATTCTTGTCTTTTTGTCTTGAAGATATGGGGAAAATCCAATCATTTTACAAGAACAAGAAGAATCTAATACACTGGTGCAATGCTCGCAGCATATGTGCCCAATTCGGGTTCATTGGCACGTAAAAGAAAGTTATAGAGAGTATTGGCGGGTTAAAATAACAGTAACCAATCTTAATATCATCAGAAATTATTCACAATGGAACCTGGTGGTGATGCATCCAAATTTACAGAGTGTCACTCAAGTTTTCAGCTTCAACTACCAGCCACTTAACCAGTACTCTTATATCAGTAAGTTTTTAGTACCACGCTCAATTTTCATCATTAATATATCTTTCTTAATGAGAGATATATATATATATGTGTATGTATATGTACATGCAGATGATACAGGGATGTTTTGGGGAATTAAGTACTACAACGAGATGCTGCTGCAAGCAGGGGAAAATGGGAATGTGCAAACAGAAATTTTACTTGGCAAAGACCCAGAGATTTTTACGTTCAGAGAGGGATGGGTTTTCCCAAGAAGAATTCTGTTCAATGGTGATGAGTGCGTGATGCCTTCTCCAGATAATTACCCCACCTTACCAAACGCTGCTTTTTTTCTTATTCCTAATTATCTCTTTTCCTTTTTTTTCATTATTCTTTTTCATATAATAATGATTTAATGTTATTATTATGTAATAATTATCTTTTTTAGTATAAAGTATATTGTATACGACGAATTTGCACGAAAATTGAGATGATTATTGCATTAAAATACATTGTAACCAAACATGTGTAATTTACTTTACACCCTCAACAAGCCCTACAGAAAGAAAATAAGACAAATAAAAAACATAGATAGTTTGATTTCCACACATTTGTTTAAACAACGGTTTTTCTAAATATATAAATAAAAAATGGAATAAGTTTTTAGATGTTATCAAATGAAGAAATAAGACATTCAATAAACTAATAATATTTGGCAAATCTTGCATGTATACGTCGTATATACATATTCAATTATATAATATAATACTTTTAAAACTAAAATGAAATAATAATATGTACAAAACCCCATTAGTTGCCCATCAAAAAATTTGATGACGAGAATAAGATTCGTTCGAGTTCCTAATCAATTCTAGTTTCATATTTGTCTTAGTACACAACTAGAATATTATTAACTACAATCAATTCTTATTTTATCATAAATTTTTCAATGGCGAAAATTAAATTCACACAAAACAAGTAATAAATTTTATTCCAATAACACATATTTCTTGATAGAAAATAAATATATATACGGTTACAAGGACTAAAAGGCCGGAACATTGATCAATAGAGAGGATGGTGAAAAATAGTGTCTAATATTAACAAAAGAAGATATTTAGATTTTATACATACTAAAACTAACACAAAATCTAAAACCAAAAATAAAAACAAACCAAGTGGAACCTTTGAGGAAGTTCAGACGACTTGACTTTCGCTGGCGCTACCACACAGACAGGAATTGGAAAATATGGCATTTGTAAAACCAGCTAAGAAAAAAATATGCAGACCGACAAATATCTCAAGAAAGAAAAAATATATATATATGGATTTCACGAGACAAATTTTATAGGACAATGCATCCTGACCGATGCAAATCTCCAAACATCTCTATAGATCCTTACACTACGTTAGAATCTGTTTGTGGCAGTGGATATTTTAGATGGAAGAAAAATGGAGCATACAGAATTTCTGAATTATAACAACTTGATACAGGAGACTGAATGAGATATAGAACATGTTCTTAAAGTTACCACCTCCGGTAAGTCATCTGCCTGAAATATATAACTTTCAGGCAATGACTACCAGGTGCAAATGAAGATGCTAGCTTGTCAAAGTAAAATGGCAAGAAACAATGAAAAGCAAAATACGCAAATTAGGCAGACTGGGAACCAAGGCAGCAAGAGCTTGGCTTTATCTCAGCAGGAAGCAACAAATTATGGTCAACGTGGCAGTGCTACCACTGGCATAAAACACCTCTGACTAAAATCCTATACCTAGATGCGAAGTGAGCCAGTCACAGAATCACGACCAGAATTGCCATCCTTGTGTTTCAAAGAAAGCTTTGCAAATTGAGACTCCAGGTCTCTGCTGTTACTACGATGGTGGCTTGATGATGGTCGCTGTGGCTGCGTCTGTAATTGCCGTTGCTGCTGCTGCTGCTGCTGATACAAGGCTCTTAACCTTCCAATCTCCCTCTCCAATACCTCCTGCTCCACTGAACATCACACTTACACAAGTTAGGTTACCATTATTTAAATCATGTTTTGGAGTAGAAAAAAAACTGTCAAAAGGAAATTCAGTAAGCAGCTTGTCAATTCATCAGTTCTTTTTATGGTTCAATCAACTTTGTGAATGCTGGTCAGTCAAATACAGTTATGAAAATAGTGCCTTTCAACCAGGTCTACCATGGGAAGAAGAAGAATGAGACATAAAGGAGCTAAGTAGTCAGGATATTTGCATGAATCATCAAGGGATCTACTTACTGGACCTCCAGAAGGCAGAGCCGATAGTCTAGAGGGAAGCATTAGCAGAGGAAAGGTGAGATAGAATAGGTACAGGGGCTGAAATGTATGAGGCAAAACAGTTTGTCCGAAAGATTTTTAAGTTGGACTTTCCCAAATATGATCGGAAGATAAATACCTTGAGATGGATTATAGGTGTGAGCATTTCGTTAGACACATACACCTTACAAAGAAAATGTCTGGCTGGCATTCCATTTGGAAGGGAGAGATCCATCGTGACTTTTGAAATTGGAGAGATAGACCAACCATTTCATAGGATGGTTTTAAACATAAAAGAAACATACCCTTTGTGTCT